CAAGGGGAAAACATCCCCAGCCAGCTTTCCTCATGCACCAAACCTTTGTGCTCCAGATGATGCACAAGAACGAGTCAAAAAACGGTCACTACCCTTTTGCAACCTACAAAGGTTCTTATGAACCTAAGGCTGAAGCCCACTGAATTCAGTCTAAGCTGAAAGTTCCCTGCAGCCACCTAAGGCTTTGGGCATTATGTTTGGGAACAAATGCATTTTAAAAAGGAATAGAATTGTGTAAACACTAGCAAATATAAGCTATTCTCTTGCTCTTTCCCTATATTCAATCTGATTCCCAGATCTCTTATTCGTTGCTTATTTCTCTGTTTGGTACACATGATTAGCAAATGCCATTTCAACCAAATGCTTTTTTGTTTGTTAATCCATGCAGACTAAATACATCAAAAGTTAAATATTTTGATCAAAAATTTTCTATAGCTTTGCAAACAAAGATTAAAAAAAACAGTGTGAATTGGACTGGAAAAAAAATCTCAAGAATTTTCTGAAGAAGTCGCTTTTCCGCTTTTCTCCCCAGCTCCATTAGTTATATGCTTAGTTTAATATTCTTGTAAAAGAGGCATTTTCTTGAAAAGAACTCAGGTATAAGCAATCCCTTATTTACACTAGCAGGACTTGCCGGGGGCGGGGGGGGGAGGACACAAAAGAAAACACAAACAGAGCAGGAGTAGTCAAGGCTCTTTTATATCATATCCTTTTTCTCTCCCCATGGCTGAGGGTATCTGTCTCAGTCGAATCAGACTTGCATGAAAAAACTTCATGCTTCATGTATTCCCCAGGCAGTGAGAAGAACACAATGAAAACCACTCCAAAATGTAACAGGCGTCTAATTCAGCATGATGTGGGCACTCACAGCCTGTTACGCCTGGTGACTAACGGGAGGCTTTAGTTCTCATCCAGAATTAGCAGTTCGGGTCACTGAGAAGCTCAGGTTCCTCAGGATCTGGGAGATCTTGAATGCAAACCATCCCGAGGGAAAGCATCTTAACTTTAACAATTCTCTCTCTCACACGACCGCTTCAGCATATCTCAGAGAGACATAACCTAAATGTAGAGAAGCTGCATTGTATTCCCCGGGGAAGCTTTTTTCCCCCCCTCCCCATAGAGGTGTGCCTAATCTCAAACACAGCAAACTGTGACTCATTTTAAAGCTTTTTCCTGCCTCTTTGAACAGAGCTGGAGGTGTAAAACGTTGAAATCAAGGAGACCTCAAAGGATCAGCAATGCCCAAGAAGGACAACCGGTCCTAAAGATTAAAAGGCTCTTAATAGAACAGAAAACCTATAAACACAAGACTTAAAGGAAATAATTTTCATTGGGCTCTGGACACCCCTGCCGCAGCATGGTGCTGAGGACTAGACCACAGTGAGCTTTGTAGTGCTTCAGACTTACAAAGGATTTTGCCCACTTACATATTAGAGACAAATAGGAGCTTTTCATCTGCAAATGGCCTTAGTTTCTCCCTTTATAAAAGGAGCCTTGTCTCCAGCCCAGCTATACTGGGTAGGGACAGGTGAGGGTACTCACTGGTGGACCCTTGGGTGGGCTACCTTGTGATTGTAACTGCACTGTGATCACAAATGTTTATATATATTTATATATATATACACACACACTAAAACCTGCACACTATTACATGAATCAGTTGACGTTAAGGTTCAGCACTGACTTTACATTCGATTCTTTTTCAAGGTCAATATCCAAATACTTGGGCTGTATTTAACAACATTAATAAGTAGTTAGATAATTTTTAATTGCTGTGAACAGCATTGCTTCTCCATGCTGCTTCTCAGTCTGTATTCATCTCATAGCTCTTACATTGTAAACTCCCTAGGCCAGGGCGTTCAGTTTTGTGGTTTTTAGTACCTAGCACCATCGGATCCTTCTCCATGGTTATTTAATACTACAGCACTGCTACTAGTAAATAATTATGATCATTGCTTTTGATTCCATATCACAGGATTCTTCTCACGTATTCTGAGGATGCTCTGCTCTGATGATTGCTGTGAAGGCCAGTATTTAGCAGGATATGGTTTTTCAGTTTGCCCACTGCACAATCTATTATTAGAGTGCAGATTCAGCCCTCATGTGCCTTTTCATGCATAGCAAAGAGAGATATCTCTTTTCTCCACTGTTAGCAGCATTAATGATACCCTTCTGAAAATGATGTGAGTAGTATCATTAAACTGCCTTGCAAGCACAGGTGTAAAGTGGGTTTTTTTTGTGAGAAATGATATATTACATGATAAAAATGAGGTATAAGCTGTGAGAAGAAATAGGAAAGACAACACACAGAGCTAGATGATCGTTGTAGGGCCCTTCCAACTGAACTATTCTATTCTATTCTATCTATTCTAAGCTTAGCTCACTTGCTCCAAGTTACTCAACTCTTCTTCCAGACCAAAGGAGCTTTCAAACCCAAGGTGTTTCTCCCTGTGTTTTAAGTAAACTCAGCAGGTGAAAACCATATCCCTGTTGGGACAGTTATTCAGCAAGTCTGCTGGTATAATCACATACCAAGTGAAGGCCTGTTTTAGAGATATTAACTTGGACTCATGAATTGCAGTAGCTTCCCATTAGAGTTAATTAGCTGGCCTGAGAAATATTGCTTCTCATTCTGGTTTATTTTGCACTAAAGTGGGCTATACTTGGATGCGCTCCAGCATGGCCCACCAAATAACTCGACCATATGCCACTCAGATCAACCATGTACCTCAACAAGTGGCAGGGGCTGGTTTGTCCAGCTTATCTGAGGAACAAAGACCTCACCTTTCCAAAGGAAGTCTCAATTGCACTTTAAAGGAAATAAAAGTGAAATTTAATGAATGTATACTTGACCTTCTTTACAGGATTTCCCACTCTATAGTAACCATTTTTATTTCCCAGAGTACACTACCAGCTTTACATAAAAAACAGCTTCCTTTCTGGGCACATGACATACCTTTGTATTCATTTAACCAACCTGAATTATTTCTCTCTATTACATTCTTACCTAAAGAATATGGTATTTAGCTTAGTTTGGGTGTAAGCCCGTGTACCTAAGTCTCCCATTTGTAAATATACATTTATAGTATTACACACCTACACGCTTGCATCTGTGTGTGTGTGGTGTTTGTTAGTCTGCAGCAAAGAAAGCTGGATCAGAAAGTCAGGGGAGCATCAAGGAGAAGAGGTAATTACGTGAGGCTTCCAGAAGAGTTCAAAGCAGCTGAGGGTTGACCATGTCGGCAGTGGTTTATTTTTCACGGACCACACTGGAAAACAAAATGCTAAATTGGAACAGTCCTATGAAAAGGTAGTTTTCCTTTCAGAGCTAGATCAAAAGGGGAACCATTCCTAGTAAATTAGGATTGGAGCAATAAAGTCAGCTGCTTAGGTGGGACAACAGCAGGTCTGGTAAGATAGTGTGATGGGTGTAACTCTGTGTAGATAATGCTGATGATACATAACTCTGAAGCTGTGGTCACCGAGTGCCCACCTCTCCTAACCCAAAACCAAGAACGCAGTTCAAGCTTTATTTAAAACACCAGAGTCCCTCTTTTATCCCTTGCTGAGTCTCTCTCTTCTACAGTCTCCCGCTCTCCGTGTCACGCAGAGCCTCCTCTTGCGTGATGAAATGGAATAGTGATACACACTTTTTAGTCTAGGAGTGTCTGTGGGTTTGGTGCATTTATTTTTCAGTGTGGCTTGGTCATATGTTAGAGATTAAAGAAAAAGGGACTTGTAGTTTCATCTGTGTAGCTGTGAATTAAGGGTATGGGCATTAGTAGCAGCTGCAGATACGTGTCTGGGTGTTTCCTTAGGATTTTGTGAGCATAAACAGATTACAACTAGATAAAAAATAAATCAAGTCTTTAATTATAAACTCTGAAATGTCCTTAAATCAATGCATGCACAACAGGGCATTTTCCAGAGCTGAATGGTGTGATACAAGGTAGTCTGCTGCTTCGAAGGTATTTTATGGGCTCGAAGCAGCTATGTGGGGTGATATGAATGGGTTAAACATCTCTATTTGAGTGAGTGTGCAAGAAGCTTTGACAGTTAGGCTTCATGAGTGCAACCATGAAATTAATTCTTGCCAGGGAAAACAAACCGCAGACAGAGCCACTCATGCACCAACTAGTCACAGTTTGCAAGGTTAGCTAAAGTTTATCAAAATCCCCAGACAAAAAATGTCATTAAGATACAGTTAAGGTTATAGACAGATACCAATTCCCAGGCAAGAAACTTCATTAAGGTACACTCAAGGTTGTAAACATATGTGCCAATTAAATTCAAACAAAAAGATCCAAACACTGTCATTATTTACAATGTTAAATATTTGGAAAATAAAAGTTACTGCTAGAGATAATACAGTTTCTATAAAATTCATAATCATGGTTCAACAAACTGAACTTCTGCTGCTGTTCATTATTACCTTACCTTCTATTGCTAGTTGTGATGCTCCCTGCCATGGGATACTGTGAAAGCTAAAAGCCTACATGGGTTCAAAAAATTCTGCACAGATTTGTGGAAGAAAAAGCCAGCTGTAGGTATTGAAAGCAAAGCAGGCACTGTTTATTCTGGAGTGCCCTGAGCCGCAAGTCCTGAAGACCTGGAGAATATTCTGAGGAAAATCCCTTTCAACTTGCCTTGCTCTTATATATGTCCATAAAGACCAGATTGGCCGCTCACGAAGACAGGCTGTTAGGGTGGATGGTCCTTTGGTCTGAAGCGGTATTGCTGCCGTCACAGCATTCCCCGCTGTCACAGTACGAGAGTAGACTAGATCTCGCGTATAAGGAAGCTATGGCAGGCGGTGCACTGTCTTAGAGAATATAGGATGCAAAACAAGTAATTAAATGTGAAATCCTTGCAACTAAATTTCAATTGAAGGGTTTAGAAGGGACACTCTGCCTCTTAAATGCAGTGTCAGTCCCTTGAGATATTATTTAATTAGAATTTTCATTATAACATAGTTGTGAACATTGTCTTTTCTCTTTTAGCTTCAATAGTGATTGGGAAATGGTGGTGTGAGATGGAGCCCTGCCTAGAAGGAGAGGAATGTAAGACGTTGCCTGATAATTCTGGATGGATGTGTGCGACTGGCAATAAAATCAAGACCACCAGAGTAAGTCGTCTTTCTGTCTATACCCAGGAGGTTTTAATAGGAAAGGGAGTCACTAATGATTGCTCACCCATATCTTTTCCATCATCATGTCTGCTGTAAAAGTCTTAAAGATCACTGCATACCTCCTCAGCCACCCAACGCTCCTGGCCATAATTTAGTGACAATTCAGATGGATTCAGGCTGGTCAGCTGGGTCCAGGCTTGATAACTGGCAGGTTGGAGCTGCTGAATCACCAGGTCACATTCTTACAGACATTGCCACCTCAGAAAAAAACCTAGTGCACATCACTGAGTCCCCTTCTGGTGGCCAAAGGGAAGAATATTAGATCAAAGGGATCTGCTGGATCCTACATCCATTCCTTGGCTGTTCCAGGCCACTTCTGTGTTAACAGCTGTACAGCTGCTTCGTAGCATGAAACGGTGCTGAGGACCCAACTCACTGTCTGCATTTCAGGTCTTACTTCAGAGCAGCTCTGGCCCCATGCACCCATTAGTGACATACTCTTGAGATGCTGAAGATTCAGGTAACACAGGCCAACAGGTGACGACAACTTTCACCATGCATTGCTAGGAAAACGCAGAGATATGGCTGCAAAGAGAGAGAGCGTGAATGAGCTGGCTAAACTTCTCCCACTATGAGATTACCTTGGGGAAAAAAGTGTTTTTCAAAAATAGAGTCTAGCTTTTTTTTTGCATCGTGCAGTTGTTTCACAACCATTTTCTTAAAACCACTACCTATACCTGTATTCAAGAATTTTAATTAAATTATTTTCATACCACGATTGAATTTTTTTCCAAGAAATTTACATGGTTGTCAACTCAAAATATTTTTTATAAATGAGTAAGTTTTGTTTTTCAGTGAAGTGGAAAATAATTTTTGAAACCTGCTAAATGAAAAAACCCAAATTTTGAAGAAATTTTTCCCTGTTTATTAAGAAGTTCTACATACTCATACCCAGCTACTAATTCACAGGAACGTGAAGCTTAGTGTCATGATTTCCTGACTTCTTCCTTTTTCTACAGTCCTAACTCTAGACATTATTCATGTCTTCTAGGCCTTTTGTTGAAGGAGAAGATTTTACCCCAACTGATCCCCATGCCATCTGAATTCTTTTCTTTCCCTCCATATTATTTACCCCAGGATGAATGATTCGTATTGCAACCCTAGTTTCTTGAACAGTGCCTTCCAGCATGGCTAATCTTACCACCGCATTAAATTACTAGGATACATACTAATTTAGGAGGTTTTCTTTGCAGAAGGCAGTAAGTGGCCCCTGAAAACAGGATGCATATTATCCCTTTGTCATCTCCCAGAGCAAAGGAGAAAGCACGGAGGGAACTGTGATTCCTTGACTCAATTTCTTCCTGCAGTGTCATTGTTGCTGCAAACCACTCTGTGCTCACAACTGATCTCTCCACACTGAAACACCACTGGAAGATTGTGCCCCTAATGTATGTACCTTGCAGTGCAATTAAAAAAAAAAAAACCAAACTTGCTACATGTCTGTCGTGATTTAACCCCAGCTGGCAACTAAGCCCCACACAGCCACTCGCTGTGGGATGGGGGAGAGAATTAGAAGAGTAAAAGTGAGAAAACTCATGGATTGAGGTAAAGACAGTTTAATAGGCAAAGCAA